GAACAAAGAATTCTAGAAACATACCCGGACTTTAGAATTTGTCTCTTTGTGATGTAGAAGTTGCTATTAATACTTCCCCTCCCCCAGTTCTGTGGTTCTGATTGGCTGACTGATGCTCTGCCGTTTCTGTGTTCTTAAAAGGTATGGCTAACTGTAGGGTTTCTGTGGCAAATCTGATGAAGATTATGGCACTATCCTTTTCTCTCACCTATGAGAACGACAAAATAAAGCCCAGGATTCTGCTCTATTTCCTATGTACCAAAGAATATGGAAGTCGACCTCATTTACATTCCAAATGCTGCTCTGACATTGAGCAGATAGAAGGACCTCAGCTATGGAAAATCCGGCTCCCCGCTGTGGCTAAGTAAGAGCTCTCAAGGAGAGGAGAGAGACCAGCTTCCCTTTGTGTCCCAGCAGGGATCCGGATCTGTCTGTAACCAGCTTGGACAAGACCACTGAAACACCATTTTCCTGATAGAAAGTGCTGATAAAAAGAAAATTGGGTAAGAAAAATCACACGTGTATAACATTCAATGTCATCTTCATCTTCTCGTGGCCCGTGATCCTCAGTATTGATCCATGCAATTTGGCGGGAGTCCACATGTGAGTCGTTGGAAATGCAGCCCAAAGAGAGTCTTAAAAATTCGATGCTGCTCTAATAGCGTGAGATATTTGGGAGCTGATCGGCTTGGAGATCATTCTGATTCGAGGCGTGAGTTTTCTTTCTTGTAAGAGATGAGAATTGATGGAATGAGTGTTCCCACTCTGGGCTAGCAGGAGAGAAACTCTAAGAGGTAAATCTGTATCCTTGAGAGCAGGGCCCTGCTACTCCAAGAGGATTGGTGTGTGGGTAGAGGGGTGGTTCACAGGAAGCTCAGGGTAGCCCTGTCTCTCTGCGATGAGTTCTCTCCTCTGAATGTTTTCAAATCTTGAGTGGCAGGTGAAAGAGACACACAAGAAGTGGGGATTGGTTCCTGTCTAGCTGGTCTGGAAACTTCCCAGCACTTATCCGTAGACAGCAAGCTGACGCGGGTTCCCTGGGCATCGATCTTTCTTCATTCTCTCTGGACAAACTGGGACATTGGAAAGGAATATGCAAGTTGGGTCAAGTCGTGAGCAGTTGTGTTGGCCAAATTGTTGTACTGAAGCCCGGTGCTTCCACTGAAAACGTGGAGAAATAGTCTCTGATGATGAACTTCTTGCCTTCGTAGGGGAGAAAGCAAGGGTCATGGTTGACACTATAACAAAAGACAGAGTAATGAGAGAAAAGCATAACGAATTTCCTTAACAAAGTTTTATGTGACATGGCAGCCTTTAGAAATGAAGACCAAGGACCCAGGGAAAACAGTGTTTTTATGCCAGGTCTGTTGAAAGAGGAGGATAGTTGTGGAGAGCCATGACTGGACAAAAGGGTAGGATCTAATGGTAAGGAACTGTCCGTATTCGCTCTCTCTCCCCTTCTCCGCCACAGTGGTGCGTGCGGTTCACTGCGTTTCTCGCCATGTCTTCTCACAAGACTTTCAGGATCAAGCAATTTCTGGCCAAGGAACAAAAGCAAAATCGTCCCATTCCCCAGTGGATTTGGAGGAAAACTGGTCATAAAATCAGGTACAACTCCAAGAGGAGACATTGGAGAAGAACCAAGCTGGGTCAATGAGGAATTGGGCGTGCGAGAGCACACATATTTATGCTCTATATCAAGGTCACTATCATCTGACCGTAGCAAGCAAATGTCATTACTATCCCGACAGTCAGACACATTTCACTGGAGAAATGATTTTTCTCTTCGTTTATATGCCCTGCACTAATAAGCTGGTCCAGTAATAAATATGCGAGACCTTTTGTTTGAAAAAAAAAATGTCCGGATTCTTCTTGGCCTGTGTAGCATTTCTTTCCTCTGGGTGTAGGGAAGGGCACCTACCGCACGTGTACCTTTGGGGCATGGGAGAGGGGGAGGTCAGGGAGTGGTCTTTCTAGGTCTTAAGGCTTTCTCTGGGGAGAGGAATTCTAGTTTCTATGACCCACTTGGGAGAGAAAGGAGGATGGAAAAAGGTCAGAAAGCCCTTGCTTCCGAGGCCCTCCTAATCTCCTTTAGTTCAAAGTGTCAGCATGCCCAGGTGCCATACTTTGGGTTGTCATGTACTGACCCCTGACATGTTCTCCAGCTGTCAATGCTACCCACAGACTGATCCTACCAGCAGCTCAGCCTTCAGGGCAGAGCCTTCGGAACCGGGGAGGGCCTCCTCCATGGCTCCAGCTTGGCCAAGGGTTTGGTGATATTCTTCTGCTGCGTAGGCTTCATTTCTTTTCATTCTCCTTCTTTTTTTTCCTCCTCTGTAACAGCCTAAGAATACTGAGAAGTGAGGAGGGGAGAGTTAGTGAAGATTCCAGAACCCCAAAAGAGATTCCAGTGTTTTTGATGCCGTTTGTTTCCTGTGGGTTAGTATGGAAATTCCAAGGATGACAATGGCAACCATGGCTTCCTTCTACCACATTCTAGTGGGTAAAGCATGTCACAGGTCCACACACTATTAGGGAGAGAGAGGACATAGATTACACCTATCGATGGGAGTAGCTGCGTGTGTATGAGCGGGAAGAAATGACAGGAGTTATATTTGGAGACAAGCCACCACACGAGGATGACAAATAGAAGAGTTTCCTATGGAAAGTATTAATTAATTAATTAATTTTGGAGACAGGGTCTCGCTCTGTTGCCCAGGCTGGAGTGCAGGGGTGTCATCATAGCTCACTGCAACCTCTAACTCTTGGGCTCAAGCGGATCCTCCTGCCTCAGCCTCCCAAGGCTGCAGGCATGGACCACCACGCCCAGCTAATTTTTTGTTTTTTGTATGGATGAGGTCTTGTTTTCAGGACAGAAACATGGAAACTGCATTGTATTATCTTCCTATACCTTGAACTGAGAATTTTTGCATGTATTTATTTGCAATTTTCAAGTATACAATATATTATTACTAACCATAGTCACCATGCCCTGAACTTTGAGAACTGTTATCCACGAGTCTGTTATTTACTTTTCGATAGCGCTTCAACGAAATAAGCAGCCACATCATCTGATGTTTACTGTTGTGTCATTTGAGCCCTCCAGGAGGCAGATGCTGAGACGGGAGTGGAAGAGACTTGTTCAAGTTAATCCCAACGAGAGAGAAAAAGAGAGGGCAAGGCAGGACTGGGCAGGGAGAGCCTCACACAAGTGACACGGATTTCAAAAAAATCTCATACAACTCAATGGGGGGCTCCAGAGCAAAGACTGCTCATTAGAAGGGTCCTGCATTGGGTGGAAATGGCCAGGCCCTACTATCCCCAGCCATGCTCAATCATTGGCTGTCAACTAGCTGCAATCCTTGCAGCTAAACAGAAATTTCTTTCTTGAACAGGGATCTGAGTGGTGCACCTCTGCGGCTGCCATAATTTGACCTCATAATGTTCTATCACAGCAGCTACTTTATCTACCAAAGCATTGCATCGCGTAGGCAAATTCCTTTCAAGAGACCACCCAAATAACCTTTTTACTACTTAGAATCAGAGACTTCCTGGCACCTATTCTCCAACTAATAACAAGATCCCCACTGCCTTTAAAATCCAACCAGCATAGTAACACTTTTTGGCCCAAAATGGAGCAACAGGGACTGGATTTACTCTCCCGTACAAAACAATTGGAAAACTGGACAAAAACGTCTGAAGCAACACTTCTGAAGACTTTGGACATCAAGCAACAAAGAACAGTGATCCCCGGGAAAGGGGAAATGAAGTAAGCCCTAAAATTGCCCCAGGAGAGGGGGGGAAAAACATTGCACATGGAGAAACAACGACAAGAATGATAGCAACATTGCTTCTTGTTGGAAACAATGCAAGCCAAAAGTACTGAAAGAAAAAACAAAAAGCCTAAAAACCCTGCCACCCTAGTGTGCTAGACACAGGAAAATAACTTTCAAAGATGAAGCTGAAATAATGACTTTTTCAGATAAAAGGTGAAGGAATGCATCACCAGGAGACCCACACTGTAAGAAATGGTAAAGGAAGTCCCACACAGAAGCAAAATGCTACCGTACAAAAGAATAAAGAGCATTGGAAATGGTGATCTGTGGCTAAATGCCTTTTTGTTATTATTTAGATCTCTTTAAAAGATAACTGAATATTCAAATAAAAAATAATAGCAAAGTTATGGTTAACCAATAAAATAAAATGTTATTTAAAAAATAACAACAATATATTGTGAGATTTATAGCATACATTACAACACTGGTACAAAGTCTGTGAGGTGAGAGGGAAATATACTATTATAAATTTTTTTTACTACATGTGAAGTGCTATAATATTACTGAAGGCTTTTCTCGGAAGGGGTGGAGGATTCCCGGAACTGGGAACCCTCCCCATTTTTAACCTTGTAAGGCAAGTTCTGGGGGTTGCCATGGCATTTGTAAACTGTCATGGTTCAGGCGGGTGTGATTTTTACTATGCTAGTGGGGGTAGTTCGTTTAAGGACACTGTTACCTTACTTGTACGCATGCTCCAAAGATCCTCTTTGGTGACCTTGTTCATATCTCCACTTTGTGGCCTTTCTACCTCTTTCTGGTTGGTCAGTCCTTGGAGACCCCCGGTGGTAGACCAAACTTCTTTTCAGTCCTTGGAAGCCCCCTCTGGTCAATTTGTCCCTTCTAGTCGACAAAGCATCTCCTAGTGCCATCTGCTCCCCAGTGGACAGCCCCTAGACAAAGCATCTGTTTCCCTTCCTCCTTGTCCCAATCTAACAGGGTCTCACTCTTGCTCAGGCTGGTCTTGAACTCCTGGTCTCAAGCGATCCTCCTGCCTCAGCCTCCCAGAGTGCTGGGATTATAGGTGTGAGCCACCATGCCCGGCCCTCTCTTTGATTTCTTGATGCCTCCCACGGAAGCTCCAGGTCCCTCTTGGTGATGACCACTTCCCCTTTTTCCCTTAAAGCAAGAACCAAATCCTGTGAAGTTTGCTGACATTTTAATGACCAAGTGTGGGGGAAGGGGTGAGGAGGGATTATTCTGTAGATGGGCTCTGGGAATCCATGATCACGTAGAAAGAGGGACTCCTTGGTAAGGGGGAGCCTGGTCTCCTCCTTCTCTAGGCGTAATCCACTGAAGTCAAGGAGACATCTCTCCACACCTGCACCATCCTCACATCCCCTAGCTGGAGTCGATGGGCAAAGCTGTAATAGTGTTGGCCGTTTACCACCACCTACAAAAGGGAAAAATGTGTCAGAAACACAGCATGCCACCAAACAAGCTTTCAGTCTTCCTTTCCACTTTGTCCTTGTACCTACCCACACTATCCACCCAGAAAACTCCTACTCACATTTCAGAACCCAGTAGACATGCTTCTTTGAGTAGACTACTTTTTAGGACTGTCTCAGACAGTGGCTCTACTCTGTTTTCTGGGTTTCCTCTGATTCCTCCAGTGAGGTTCTAGCACTCGAAGGCAAGGTCTGTGTTTGCTCGACCTCCCACTAGCCTGGAAGATCCCGATGGCCAGAGGCTGTGTCTCCTGAACCTTGAATTCCTGTATCTCACGCAGAGATCGCTGTGGGTTCAGTGCTCCATTCGCCTTCATCGAATGCACAAGTTTGATGGGCCATTTTGTCTTTTGAGTAGCCCAGATTTGGACTAGTGACGGCAGAGAATAAAACCTGAGTGTTCTTAAAGAGGTAGAATAGTACAGATGTTTCAAAAAAAAAAAAAAAAGGATATTTTTAACAGCTTATAACCATATGAAAAGATGCTCACCCCACCTAAATCTTAGTAAAATGTCAATCTTTTGGCCCACCCATTTGCAAAGGAAAGTTTGAACATATATATTCTTTATTTCTGAGGCTTTGGAAAAAGTCACTGTTAGGTGTTAATTTGTCAAATTGAAAATGCACACACTTTTTGAACCGGTTATTCCATTTCTTTGAAATTATCTCCCAATATGAGTACTGGGAGGTTGATCATGACAAATCGTTGTATAGAAACCCTAATACAGCATCATTTGTGAGAGCAAAATATTGGAAACAACCTCAATGCCCATGAAAAGGGTCAAGTTCAATAATTTTTGGTAATCTTTTTGGAATACTATGCAATCACTACCAAAACGAGGCGGCACCATGGATAGCTGATTTCTCTAAGAATAGTCTTTGACAACAATAAACCGTAGCTCCCAAGGTGTAATGCATAGAGAAACCTGCACCGCCGTTTGTTTACAAAGAAATGGCTGCTTGCACAAGCATAGATCATCTGTGGAAGGAAAGTAGAGAAACTAGTAATAGTTGTTGTTCTGGGGTGGAGGATTGGGGTTCAGTGGGGAGAGGAAGACTTCATTTGGGGCTGATTAAAATAATTTTATTCAGATGCATATTTTATCCGTTTAACTACACGAAAGTTTAAATAACAGCATATGTAGAAATGATAGCTATGGGTGAAGACGGAGGAGATTCTCCACCTTGGGGGAAACGGCATGTGGCCCGACCTTGACTGTGGTCAGGTTTGGGAAAGGAGCTGAGAATGGCAGTACCAGCAGGATGTGTTCTGTGACCAAAGGCCTGGGGCAGGAGTCGTTATGGGAGATGGACCCCAAGGGACCCTCGGGGCCAGGCCAGGGGGAGCTGCATCCTCCTCTGGGAGCCCACGGAGGAGGCCGTGTGGACGTTCCCGGGGACACTCACCTGGTACTCATTGTGCAGCACCAGGATGCGCAGGACGAATGCTTTGCCGTCCGCGAAGGGCATGTGGGAAGACCACACCTGACCCTTCCAGCTCCCATCCTCACGGCTGCTCATCACCACAAAGTGGCCAAAGTACACTCGGAAGTGGAAGGCGATGTCCGACTTCTCGGTTGTCCCAGTGTGGAAATCCACCTGCAGCTGGGGGTCCTTGCTGAAGGGCAAAGCACACAGCCCGTTGGGCAGGTCCCCTCCTTGTGGTGGCGCACGCGCCCGATGCACACCCAGATCCTGTCCCACCTCTTCCCCAGAGCGGGCAGAAGGCCTCCCTGGCTGCCACTGTGCTCCCCGTCCCTGTGAGACTGCTCCAGCTCACCCCGCCCTGAGCAGTGAGATGCTCTGTCCCTGAGCCCAAGACTAAAATTGAGTCGAAGTCACTGACCTGGACCTCTTAGCTGTCCATCCCTGAAAATTCTATGCCCCCGGCTAAAGCGCCAGAGCCCCAACCCCTGAGTGACCTTTTCCCCCAGACCCCAAGACCTGCCCACAGTCCAGCAACGATAGGTTTGGTGGCTGGTGCCACAGGGCTCTCCAGGCCCTGCACCTGCACTGTGCCACCATCATGCCACTTAGACGTTTTCACATCCCTCGGACGTGAGCTAGTATTCTCTAATATTCTCCTAAGCTGATATTCTCCCTTCTCCTTCATGCCCTCACCCATGGGCCATAGAGTACTCACACGAAAGGGAGGAGAGTCGTCCCTCTGATCGTCACGGAAGACCCAATAGACAAGAACACATGCCGAGTGTGTGGCACCTGCCATGGGGATCAAGTGCGGATGAGGGGGGCAGGGCCAGGTGTGGGCTCCCCTCCACCAACAGTTTCCAGTGGCTCAGAGGTCGGAGGACACACTCTTGCGCCCCCCTTCTCCCCACCCTGCCACAATCAGAAGAGACGGGAGGGCCATAGTTCAGAGCAAGGGTTCAAGAGCCAGACTGTCTGGGTTCAAACCCTGGATCTGCCTCTTCCTAGCAGTGAGATCTTAGGTCTCTGCCTCAGTTTCCCCAGTACAAGGAGGATTACCAGACATTCCTGTGTTGGGAGATGGTCTCAGTAGCAGATGGGTCAGTAGTGATTGCTCATCACTGGCACGTGTGGGGCCTGTACAGGGGGCCACGTATCCGAAGTGGGGGGGTCCTTGCGGAACGGCCCTCTGGTTGTTTTCCACTCCCCAGCCTGGGAAAACAAGACTTGAAGATGTGAAAACTGAAAAAAAAAAGTTCACTGCAGAGAGAACAACACTTGTTGAAAGAGAGAAGGAAATCACAGAAGAGGAAACCGCGGGGTGCGGGACGCGTACGCGTGAGAGTGATCGCGGGCGCCGCGTGTCCCGCCAGGACGTGCACGGATTGTCGGACGCACAGTCTCAGCCCCTGCACACAGGGCGGGGGACGGGAAGTGACGGGCCCGGCTGGGGCTGAGGGGCCCCCGAGGCAGGGAGGTGGGAGCCGGTGGTCCCCGCGGCGCCCCTACAGTCCGCGTTCATCTCCCCCAGCTCTTCCGGAGAAGCCGCGTTTAAGGATCGTTCCTTCTGCTCTCAGGAACGCTCAGAGCCGAGGCCCCCGAGAACCCAGGTGCCCAGGGCCCTCGTGGACACACACGGGAAAACCTACGGTCACTTAGTCAGAGTCACGGCTACGTAGGGAAGGAGCTTCACGGGCACAGAAAGCCACGCATGTGTTCGCAGTTCAGCACCCAGTCACGGCATCGCGCCCCTGCTCACGGTCACACAGGCGCGTGCTACTCGGTGTCACACGCCTCCCCACGCTCCTGCGCACAGCTGCTTGCACTGTCCGGTCGTGCTCAGACAGGCTCACGGTCGCTGTCCCGACGGCAAAGCGCGGTCCCACCCCCGCCCTCCCTCACACCGCGCATCCCGGCCGGCTGTCCGCCTCCCGCACGACGTCGCCTCGTGTCAACAGCGGTCACTCTCGGTCAGGCGCCAGCACACGCGGGCACAGGGTCACGCTGGTCCAGGGGCCACACACCGCACCCCACGACGATCTCACACATCGTCTCCCCAGGGGCTCTCTCTTCCCCCCGACCCACAACTCTCAGGAAAACGTTCAGAATAGAAATGCTCGTATTTTCATCTCATAAAATCTTCCCCCTTTTTCTTCCTTTCTTTATGTGACTCGGGATTACCGAAGGCTGCGCCTTTGCAACCCACCTGTAGCCCTGACATCGCTGTCTTCTTCCAGGTGGCTCTTCCGAGCTGGGTCTCCTCTTCTGCGAGAACCTCCTGGAGTTGCAGCTCATAAATAACCCCTTGCAGCCCTGGGTCTGGCTGCATCCCTGTCCCTGCAGGGTGAGAAGGGGCGGGGTGTCAGGAAGGGACTCAGGCCTGTGTCTGTGAGGCATCGTCAACGCCAGTGGGGGTGGGTGGGGCAGGGGAGGAAGGAGGGGAGGGGAAGTGCACAGATGGGGTGACAGTGGAGCAGGGACAATGACCAGCCTCTGAGCCTCTCACGTAGCTGTTCCCCATGGTGCAGAATCCACCCCACCCAGGCCCCTGGACTCTGCCAGGTCAGGGCCCCCACACTCTGTCCCCCACACTGGGCTCTAGCCACACCCTGTCCTTTCTCTCTGGGCGGCCAGTTGCGTCAAAATCTCAGAGACTCTGCTTCTCCCACAGATTCTGGCAGAAGGGTGACATCCTTAAGTTCTAGTCTTTGATGTGTGTGCTCCTCGTTTCCAGCCCTGTCGGAGGACAGGTCCAGGTCCAGGTGGTGTGACCACAGCCATAATGCAGTCTTCACCTTGGGTGGAGGACTGAGGACCCATCCTCAAGTTCTCCTTTTGGGATGAGAGGAAACATTCCTAAAACCTGAATTGGGAATTTAAAGAAGGAATGAATTGGAGTTCGCCCTCCATCCCTCCCTCCCTCCCCCCTTCCTTCCCTCCCCACCTTCTGTCCTCGGTTTTATTGACTGTGAATCTAAACCATTCATAGAAAAGTTGATCCAAGTTACCAAATAATGTATATTATGATGAGTATTTATTAAACTGGCACTCGGGTAACCACCTCCACGTTCAAAGCATGTGACGTTGCTAACACCATTTAGCTCCTATGTCTTCCCTCCTGACCACTTGAGCTCCTCACCCCCATGGACTACTGTTCTCCTGCCTTTATTCTTTTGTTTTTCTTTTGTTTTTGAGACAGAGTCTCACTCTTTTGCCCGGGCTAGAGTGAGTGCCGTGGCGTCAGCCTAGCTCACAGCAACCTCAAACTCCTGGGCTCAAGC